TTAATCATGCCATCAAAATACTGTGCAAAATGTCGTAAAGGTAATTTGTGTAACTGCCATTATATCTTGGCGCTTGATTATTTTTTGTCCTCTTTCAAGATTCTTTGTTTTCCTTTTTTTTTTTTGCTGCTTCTCATGCTATATTTAATTTTCATAGTTGTTGCTTTTACTGCATAAACATATACAAGTTCATTCACACCATATACAACCACCTTAACGACTTCCAGACCCGTAGGCAGAGCTTTAACATGGGACTTACTAGCTAACGAGCATAATGATTTTGATTATATTACGAACAAACGACTGATGGATGTTTATATAGTAGGAGAAGTAACAAGATGATGGTGGTATTAGTGAATAATGTTAACCATTCATCTATTTGTTTTCTTGTTTCTTCTTCTTTAGCAGATTCTAGGAATAGTCACTGTTGCTTGGATAAACATTTTGTTTATACAATCAATTTACTGACTCACAGATTTTCAGTACGTGTATTTTGTCTGAATACAGTTTGTCACTGCTTGTCAGTGGAATGCCTGTCAGAAAGCGTTAAATTAAACTGGCCTAAAGGTTCCCTGCTGTTTATAGGACACATTTTGAGAAACAAGTCAAGATTTTTTTGGTTGGTTCTTTTCAGTATTCTCTTCTTTAAAAGTGGTAAGAAGTGGTGCGTGTGTGATAAGTTGGTTGCTGTGTTTGGAAGACTTGGCTGTAATTGCTGGAGGAATATAATAATAATTACTAAACTGTGTGTGTAAAGGTAGTATTTAAAGATTTACATTAAAAATATTTTCATTTAGTTTAAAAGAAAGTTGTGCATGTTATTTATGGCATTTTTTGCACGCTTAATTAATTTTCAGGAGGAATTGCGAGGAATTTGAACTAAATTTGTAATTGTGTTATTAAGCCCCATAAAATTTACGAATGATCAACTTTCATGTTCCACGTTTTGAAATTTATGATCAGTATACTCTTGACAGTCGGTTCAATAAACGTTTAGAAAAAACTTTCATTGAAAATTAAAAAAACTCCATACTTATTCTATCCATATTTCCCCTCTTTAAACATTTTTCAACTCAAAATCTTTGTACTAAACTTTTCTTGCACAGTCATACAATTTCAAATGTTTAGCTAAATTACAAAAATCTCATTACCTTTTGACCATTTCATTTTCCATAAACATTTTTAAATCCAGTCGACAGCCTGTACCAGTTAGCTTTTTTTCGACAATACCTTTATTTTACCAACATTTACGCTGTAGGGTATTCTAAAGAAATAAAAAGTTTTAAAACAAAATATTTCCTTTCAACTGTTAAAAAGTTTCCTGTACCAAATTAATTTTTTTTCTCCAAATTCTAATTAAATTAAAGCCCAAAACCATCATGACTCAATAATAATTTTAAGAAATTAAATGTTTTCATTTATATTTTTAGACATTTGAATTGTTGGCTTCTTCAGCAGGGCTCTTTAAATCAAGACTTTAGGTATATAATTTAATTTTATATATTTCTCTTCGCTCTAGTAGTAGTACGTCTACTTAACTTTTACTTTTTCTTTACGTTTGGGGTTTGGTAGACCAAGTGTCAATATTTGATGTCCACGTATCCTTGTTGATTCATGCTCCCATTTAGTTTACTTGTTGTTATACTAAAACTCCCCCTAATTTCTGTTTCTGTTTCCTTTGCAGTTTATTTATTTGGTTTTCTTGCTTCTTTTCTTTCGTTTACTTTTTCACTTGTTTGCACCACGTTTGTTCTGGTGTGAAAATCCTGCTTAGCCTATAACAAGATACTAGTTAGTGACATATATTTTATCCTCACATAAAGGCATTAAAATCTATTCATGGTAGCATCCTTTGTCATTACGCTACTAATAGTATTGTTAAGGCGTTGGGTATGTTTAATAAAACGTATTTTTCAGCAAATATTACTACAGCTAAAATCTGCAATTTTATTAAATTAATTCAGTTCAAATTACAGAATATATAATAATTATGTATACATACACTTGTGTTTAAATTAGGATTTACAATACCCTGTTGCTTAACAAATAATTTCTTTTTCACAAATTTATAATTCTCCAAACGTGGTTTAACAAATTTAACAGTTTAAGAAAAGAAAGATAATGCAAATATGAGAAATTATAAGTAAAAGGAATTAAGAAAAACAGGTGTTGTAAAGCGAAAAAATAAAGAAATGACATTTATAAGTAATGTAATTGTGGTGATTTTTAAATTTATAATAAGTTTAGATATACACCGCAACATATTCCCCCCCGTAAACTTTGTGCCTGGCGCAGGGTTTACCCTTTAACATCCAGTTTTGCTAGCTTTATTACAGGACGAGTAAGTAGACCACCTTTTGTTTTGACCACAGCGCTTCTTACGATTTTGTCTTTCCCTTGGTGAACATCAATAACTATACCCTTTGTCCACGTATTTCTCTTGGTATTTTCATCAACAATAATTACGACATCGTTTACTGCTATGGAATTTACCGAGTCCCCATACCACTTTGTGCGCCTAGCCAAACAAGGTAAAACTTCTCTTACCCATCGTTTCCAGAATCTATCGGCTAACATGCTGGTAATTCTGAAATTTTTACTCAAAGCTAATCCATTGCCATCAGGTATCACTCTTTCACGCATGCCGCTCGAAGAACCAATTAAAAAGTGATTAGGAGTAAGTGCGTCGGCTTCTGGTGATTCCAAGGGAACATAAGTTAATGGACGTGAATTCAAAATATTCTCTACGTCGGCTAGTGCCGATCTTAAGACTTCTTCGCGTAGACCATCTTCGGGCAAAATATCCATCAGAACAGATTTTATTGATCGCACCATCCTTTCCCACGAACCTCCCATGTGAGGTGAGGCTGGAGGTATGAAAACCCATTCAATCTCTGGATATTTCTGTTCTAGTTCATTAGTCGATATCTTCTCAATTTCTTCTTTTAAAAAGCGTGAAGCTCCACGAAAATTTGTTGCGTTATCAGAGAGAATACGCATAGGTACTCCACGACGACTCGTAAATTGTTTGAGAACCATTAAGAATGAATCAGTGGAAAGAGATGGTGCTATCTCTATATGCACTGCGCGTATTGTCATACAGGTGAATAGCACACCCCATCGCTTTTCCCTTCGCCTTCCAATAATAATATCAATGGGTCCAAAGTAATCAACCCCTGTAAAATGAAATGGTCTAGTAAAGGACGAAAGGCGTTCAATTGGTAGATCGCCCATTTTTGGTGTGCTTGGAACGGCTCTCTTTATTTTGCATAATTGACAGGCTTTTGACAGTGACCGTACCGCAGCTCTCAATCCTGAGATCCAAAATCTTTGACGAATTTCATTGACGATAATCTCATTGTGATGATGGTGGTACTTGCGATGGTAAAAATCAATAAATAAATACGTAATTCGATGCTTTTGAGGAAGAATTATGGGTCTTTTAACATCAATGGGTACATTCAATATAGCATCAATACGGCCTTTAATACGCAGAATCCCCAATTCGTCGAGATACGGTGAGATCTTGTAAAGATTACTTTTTGATGAAATGCTTTTATTTGACTTCAACGCTGAGATCTCTTCAAAGTACACCTCTTCTTGACAGGCTTTGAATATAAACAACTCCACCATGCTGATAGTTATATGTTTAATAAAAGGTTCAAATTCCATATTAAGACGTGATCCCATAATAACCTTTATATATTTAAATACTAGTCGTTGGCTGACACGAAATATTTCCCATTTGCTAAAGTTTTTTGGGTCTGGAACTATCGTTGACAAAGGAAACGTTGGTCCTTTGACTTCAATGCGATAAAGCTGTTCGCTATGCACCTCAGGGTGATTAGAAAATTCTGAAGTAGGCCACTCTGATTCATCGAAATTTAAAAAAGATGGCCCTAAAAACCAGCGTGTATTAAAATTCAAATTGGGAACGCTATTCCATTTTGTTCCATCATCTGCCACATTAAGGGCTGAGGGTACCCATCTCCACTGCTTAACATGTGAGCCTTCTAGTATTTCTCCTATACGTAACGACACAAATTGTTGAAACTTTCTAGCATCTGATCTTATCCAGTATAGAACATCTTTGGAATCGGACCAAAAGAATTTGCTATGTACTTTAATTGACATTTCATTAACAACAAAATTTGCTAACCGTAAACCAATTACTGCAGCCATAAGTTCGAGCTTGGGTATCGAAATGGGCTTTAGGGGCGCGACTCTGGTTTTTGAAGCCACAAGACTACATTTTACGCTACCTTCATACTCAATTCGCAAAAAGACCACGGCTGCGTATGCATCAATGCTAGCGTCAACAAAGGTGTGCAGTTGAACATTTTGAGAACTATTCAAAAATCTATGACACCTTGGAATACGAATATTGGGTATGCTTGGAATCATTTTTACCCAAGTCCACCATTTTTCACGTTCATGTTCGAATAGAGGTTCATCCCAATTAACTCCAGATCTCCAAATCTCTTGTAGGACAATTTTTGCATAAATAACGAAGTGACCTAATAGGCCTAGAGGGTCGAAAATAGTCATGATTACACGTAAGACGCTTCGTTTTGTTGGCATGATATCTTCGTCAAACACTTCAGGGCCAAATTTAACAAAAAACGTTAGTTCGTCAGTGGATGGTATCCACCACATGCCCAGTACCTTTTCAAATTTGCCTTCGGGATCTTCAAAACACTTTTTCACTTCCAAAGTTGGACATTCCAAAGCGTTTACAACACGTTTTGAGTTGGACAGCCAGTTGTGCATTTCAAATCCTCCATCACTATTAATTGTTCGTACAATCTTAGCCATTGAAATCATCTCGTCCTCTGAGTCAACGCTTTGAAGCCAATCGTCGACAAATGTGTTATTTAAAATAGCATTAACAGCCTCTGGAAATTCTGCCGCAAACCGTTCGGCATTTTTATTTTTAATGAAATTTGCAAGTGAGGGGGAACAAGAAGCGCCAAATGTCATGACGGTCATAACATATACATCTATTTTCCGAGACGTATCACCGTCACGCCATAAAAATTGCTGGGCACTTTGATCACCTTTGTAACACGAATCTGGTGAAACATTTCTCGAATGTCACCAGCAATAGCAATTGGCCTCTCACGAAAACGGAGAATTACGCCCAATAATGACTTCAATAAATCTGGGCCCTTCAAAAGCACGGAGTTTAAAGAAACATTTTCTACTGCAGCTGCGGCGTCCCAAACGATGCGAATTTTGTTTTTATTTTTATTTATCACTGTGAAAATTGGAATAAACCATGATTTACCACCATAAGAAATTTCATTTTTCTGTAACTTTCTAACATAGCCTTTTCGCTCATAGTCTTTTATTTTTTCAACCAAGAAGGATTTAAGTTTGTCATTTTTGTTAATTTTAGCCTCCAAGCAAAACAATCTACGACGAGCCATAGGTAATGAATCAGGCAAGCATATGGTTTCATATTTCCACAACAAACCGGTTTCCCAAGACCTTTTCTCAGCAATGTATTTTGTGGTAGACTCCATAATAGATTTAGCTCGTTCATCTTCTTTGGAACGAAGTGGATTAATATTTAATTTTATTCCTATTGAATCTAGAGAAAAATAATTTTGTATTAATTCATCCATGCGATCATACACATTACAAGGGCAAACATGCATTACTCTATTAGGAGAAGTAGAACCTGTATATTGGCGGCCGTAGACGCCCCAACCGATTCGGCATCTTATGGCAATTAATCCATCGTTTGCACTTTCTCTAATTTCCAATGGGACACAAAGTTTTGCATTATCCAGCCCTATTAGAAGTTTTGCTTTCACTGACGTGTATGACAAATTGGAAATATTTTTTAGGTGTTCGTTTTGAGCGATGTCCTCTTTTGTGAGTGTTTGTATAGGAAGGTCGAGATTGGAAATAGTTCGTACATTGTGTAAAGCCATTTTATTTGCGACCTGATCGCGCGGTGATATTTGCAAATATACCTTTTTTGAGCTTTCATCGGTTTGTGTTATATCACCCGTCCATTGCAAGCATAACTCTTCTGCAGGCCCATCCAAGCCTAACTCTAATGCAAGCTCGTTTTCGATTAAGGTGCACGATGAACCTTCATCAATTAGAGCAAACGTATTTAACGAATGAGTTTTCCCATAGAGTGTGACCGGAACATAACGAAACAGTGACTTATTTTCTTTTTTGTGAAATAAAACCGACGAGTTTTCGTTTGCACTTTGTTCTTGAGGCTTATTTTGATGTTGACCAAGATTCACATTATGCAAGAGAGGATTATGCGGCATTTTACAATTGTCCACGTCACATTGTTTTTTTGAGAAACAGCGTCGCAAGGAATGTTTTTTAAAGCAGCGCAGACATAGGTTACTTTCACGAATAAAATTCCACCTTTCATTTACGGATAAAGACAGAAATTCTGGACATTCAGCTAAACGGTGACTCTGAGAACATTTTAAACAAGAGATTGTAGCTATATAATTTTTAGTGTTTTTATCGACTGTATCATGTAAATGTAGACGCTCTTTCCCGGACCCTTTTGTTTCATCCATGTTTGTAGGTGTAAATGTAGTCACGTGGGATGCGCAAGTAGCTAAGTTATATAGCCATCCATCAAAAATGATAATGTCGACTCTTGGAAAAGAACAACGATATCGACCCCAATCTAATTTCAAATCACACGGCAATTTCTGAACTAAATCATCTAATAACATTGGATCATTAAGATAATCTCCAAGACCCATTGCCTGCATTGTTGTTCTGTAGTTTTGTACAGCAAGGGCAAGTTGTATAAGAGTATCCAATTTATCTTTTCGCACCGGTATGTGTTCTTTAAGTTTTATTTGCAAAGCATGGTGAATTATTTCTGGTCTTCCATATAACATGCGTAGAGTTTCAATAGCAAAGTTTACAGTTGCTGGCATCATCAGCTTGCCTCTCACAGCTTCTAAAGCCTGCCCCTTTAAACATTTTTGCAAACGTATCAGATTTTCTTGATCTGTAAATCCGCACCTCTCCGTCGACTGCACATAGTTGGTTATAAAAATTGGCCATTCCTCTGGATTGCCACAAAAATTTGGTAAATCTTTACTAATTGCTTGACGTGCTGCAACCTGCGACGTGGATAACGACACATCAGCTGTTAAGTTATTTGTATGTGATTGCAGAATAGTTGACGCAGGCATACTATTGTTATACATAAACGCCGGCGTCTGAAAAGAATTATTTTGTTGTAAAAACGACGGGTTGAATGCATTAGAAGAATGAGGAATTGAAGAATTAAAATAATTATGTGTTAATGGTATAGAGGAGAGACGAGGCACTGCATGCGTTTGTGTCGGATTAAACGAACCGTAAGGAAGTGTGAATGGATTTACATTTGTAGAGAGAAAACTTTGGTTCTGTCCATTGCTTATTGTATTATTAACATTAGAAACATGAGGATAGCCTGAATGGGAATTTATAGTGGGGCCGCTAAATTGAAAAGCTTTCACTGGATCAACATTTAAAATAGATGAGTTGTTATTCCTTACTATATTTTCCTGTTGGGAGCCAAACGTTGGGATACTTGATATGCCGTGAGTGCTCGATGTTTGCGCTTCATTTAAACCTTGAAAATTGTTTGTTGCCACAGTGTTTTTAAACGAAAGCGAAGACATGTGTGCAGCTAAATTTCACCTTGAGTTGCAACGCTTTCAGGCAAGTGAGCGTTTGTAGCGGCAAACGTGGAAGGCGCTTGTAAAGCGGCATGGTTTTCCTTAACAATCGATTTTCTTTTCGCAGGTTTGGCAATGAGACGAGCTCGTTTTGGTGGTTGTCGAGTTAAACCAGAGCGAGCGCGCGAAGGGGTGAAGGAGGAAGATTTTCTTACCTTTGTTTTCTGTTTGGCTAGGGACTGTGAAGCGTTTACCTCTGTATATGGATCGTCATCGATTTCACTAAGACCATCATTCTGCTTGCCTGGTTTCCTTGCAGCGTCACTTTCTCCTGTTGATCCAGCTGAAGGGTACAAACCTGAAGCAGTGAATGGGGTAGATGAGGTTGATTGATCTAGATTTGAATTTTTTTTCCATAATTAGGTTTATTAGGAATTATACAAAGTTTGAGGTTATATTGCGTAATCCACAAGTAAGACTTTACAAACAAGTATTTTAGAAATGTTAAGGCGTTGGGTATGTTTAATAAAACGTATTTTTCAGCAAATATTACTACAGCTAAAATCTGCAATTTTATTAAATTAATTCAGTTCAAATTACAGAATATATAATAATTATGTATACATACACTTGTGTTTAAATTAGGATTTACAATACCCTGTTGCTTAACAAATAATTTCTTTTTCACAAATTTATAATTCTCCAAACGTGGTTTAACAAATTTAACAGTTTAAGAAAAGAAAGATAATGCAAATATGAGAAATTATAAGTAAAAGGAATTAAGAAAAACAGGTGTTGTAAAGCGAAAAAATAAAGAAATGACATTTATAAGTAATGTAATTGTGGTGATTTTTAAATTTATAATAAGTTTAGATATACACCGCAACAAGTATATTAAATTAAATGAGAAGTAGAAATATTTGTGTGATTATTAGGGGTGGTTTGTTTGACATTTTCGTAATTTAGAAGAGTTCAAAAAAGCAGAAATTGTATATCAAATATTTTTCTAATATTAAAAAATATTTGTGTAAAATCGGAAGATTAAACTTCTTGAGTCTATAGTTCCTGTAAGTCAGTAACATACAAGGAAAATGTATATCAGAGAAGGAACTTCACATCAGACACAACAAGCACGATCACCTGTTATAAGATGGGTCCAGTGATTAATGTTGAACGCTGTTAAGCCACTTTCTGAGTAAGCTATGTATGTCCGTCTGTCTGTCTGTCCATCTGTGAAGCACGATGTTCATGTAAACCTTGTACGTCTGTCCATCTGTCCGTCCATCTGTCTGTCTGTCTGTCCATCTGTCTATGTGTTCATGTAAACCATGCCCGTCTGTCCATCTGTCCGTCTGTCCATCTGTCTGTCTGTCTGTCTGTCTGTCTGTCTGTCTGTCTGTCTGTCTGTCTGTCTGTCCATCTGTCTGTGTGTTCAAGTAAACCTTGTACGAACGCAATTTTTAAGATAATTTCATGAAATTTGTCACAGACCAGGAATCTTAGATTATGTATTCGAGAATTAAGAGCAACAAGAGCCTAAGAAAGCCGAACTTATGAGTATTCGTGTTATAAACTGTTATAACTATTAACGAAGCAATCAATGAGCTAGTACCAATTCTAGTCTCTTTATGATTAAATTAAATATGCAGAAGAATATTTAATTGCTCGCACTAAAGAAAACTAAGAATTATTATAAAAACAAATTCATAAAGGAATATATGCAGAAATAACTAAGTTTTAATATAATTTATTTATCTCAACAGCCACAATTAAAACCGATTATAATAATGCCGAGGGTAATGATTATTGTAATAGTGAAGCTAATGTTGGTATAACAAATCCTATTTAACAAACATCTTGTAGAAATATTTTTATGCAAATAAATATGTAAAACTTTTAAGTTTGTATTAATTCTACTTTAATGATTGTTTTTCAACAAAACACTAGTAGAAATGAGCTTTGAATGTTTGTGTTTTTATTATTTTTTCTATTTCTTTAAAATCAGTTTGAATAGAGTCTTTGATAATTAAATATGTATGAAATGAAAAAAAAAAAAAACTGATTCTGCAACTGTGTACTAAGTTTTCCATCTTTTATAATTTTAATTAACTCTTTATAAACATAAATAAATAAATGTTGAGCAAAGTTTAAACAAGAGGAAAGAAAAACTTGATTAAATCATTAAACATTTTTAATGTTATTCATACAATTTGTGGTGAAGAAACAATAAATATTTAATTTAAGTAGTTTGTACAGTTTAACTTGAAATTACAATAATTAGATTTGAGATAAAATTGGCAAAACAATCCAGTGTAATAATTTTTAAAGTATTTAAAAACAAATTGCTCATAAACAGAAAATATGTAAGTTTCTGCTGGGTATAATTCAACGAAAATTTGAAAGATTACAAAAATCAATATTATATTTTAACAACTCATTCCTTAAATATAACAATAGATTTCCAAAGTATCTGAAGAAAAGTAAATGTGTTAAAACCTAATAT